TGTCTTGCAAGGGGGATGGAACAGCGCAGGGCTCACCGTGTCCCACTGGGTGAATTCACCCTCTCTGGGCCTGAAGGAGGCCTGTCCACCTCATGACACTCCCCAAGGAGACAGGCCCATTCCCCACCAGCCTCAGCCAGCCCGTCGCCCACCCTGGGACTGGGTTGGAACCGGGGCCCTACAACCAGGTGCCGTCACAAATTACAGCAAGAGGTGACAGCCACGGGGCTGCCAGTTGTCCCAATCGGGTGTAACGTCAGCCCCACGGACCGACAGGCCGGTTCTGCATTAACGGACACCCCAAAAAACGGTCATGAAGGCGCCATGGTGGCCACACAGCTCAGGGGTCGGACACAAACCTGCAAACGCAGGGAGCCAAAGAGTGAGGCCAGTGACCAGGGCAAACCCTCTTCCCTCCGCCTCCCTGCAGCTACCACGGACCATGCCTCAGAGCCTTAACTCTGACCCCCAGGACCCTCTCCCGCCAACTCACCGCTCCAGCCACACCCATTTGAGCTGTGCCACTGTAGCCCCCTGGGGCCTCTTCAGTCCCACGTCCGGTGGCACAGGAAGTGCTGGTGGTTCCAGGGGCGTGGAAAGCGGGAGGGCGACAGGGGCTGTGTGCCTGGCCCTCTGGCCACGGGGCCGACAGTGAAGGAGTCCTCACAGCTGAGAACCTGCAGTGCAGCTGAATGTCCCCAAGGGCTCAGTGCTGCGGGGCGTGGGCGGTGCCCCTGGGTGGGAGCCAGGAGGAGCACGGAGTAATCCCCGCAGGAGGGCAGACCGGGGCTGGGTGGGGCTTGGGACCTTGCGCCGGGAACACGCGGGAGGCCGTGCCTAGCTCAGGGAGGCTGTCGCTCTGTGGGTTTGCAGGCAGGGGGCACCGGAGGGGTTTTGGGGGGGAAATGTCCTCATACCACAGCTGACGGGGCGCACCCAAGACTCCCCACTGGACCAGCTCACTGCCCAGGACTCCCAGGTCGTGTTGCCAGAAATACTGGACCTTCCCTCACAAGCTACATTGCATCTTAGTTAGAAAATACCAGACTCAGCCCAGGTGGTGGCCAGGAGCTTCCGCTCTCCCCTTGGCTGGACAAGACAGCCCCTGAGA